AACGGTTATAAATGAGACCCCTGACCTTTTCCGGTACGTTTTTCCATACTTACAATCTACAAGCAGGCCATTTGTATTCCCCCATACCAATTTTTATGTACAAAGTTACCTTTACAAACCTATACCAGTGTGCCTATCAATGTTTTGAATAGCCTGTTTTCTAATGTTCTGAACTGTTCCAGTTCTTTTTCCATACTTACAGTATTACAAGCAGGCCATTTGACTGTATTCCTCCAAACCAATAACTATGTACAAAGTTACCTTTACAAACCTAGACCAGTGTGCCAATCAATGTTTTTGAATTACCTCTTTCTGATGTTCTGACCAGTTTTGGTTCCTGTATACTAAGTTGTAAAGTTATGTTTGTGTATGTTATGTATATGTTATGACATGTGTAATAAAATTGTACTTTATTCTTTAGATAAATGGACATTTTATTCATTCGGAGGGAGATCCAGTAGCTTATACATACACATATCTCCCACACATAAAAAAAAAAACGGTATATCAAAGAGCATGTGAAGTGATTACCACGTCAGATTCGTAAAAAAAAATGGAACAATAAAAGTGAGTTTTGTATAGATTCATAAAAATGAACAATACCGGTAATAACGGTTAAGGTGTTATATAGATTTGTAAAGATGAACAATAATAAAAGTGAGAGTTTTATATAGATTCATAAAAATGAACAATAATAATGGTTAAGGTTTTGTACATATTCATAAAAAGATTAGCACTTTTTAAACAAGGTTTGAATATATTTGTGGATATTAACATTACAGTTTTCAAAAGAGAGGACCTTGGAAATTAGTTAAAAGGGCACAAACGGCCCACAGTTGGTTAATGGAGCAAACCAGTGTCATGGGTAACACTTCCGCCTAATGGCCTGTATATAAGTAAAACAGAAAAAAAATATATATAAGTCACTGACAAAAGTCACTTCACCTGAGGGCGCAATGCCAATTAGACCCTTAAATGTGGTGTTACCTTTGTAGTGTGAGTAAGTCACTGAGTTAAGGACCTTGGAGCTAGGTTTCCGTACATGAATTTCTGTGCAATCCAATATAACTAGTACCTGGGAACGTGCATTTAAAACAATCTGGCATAAGCTCATCCACAGTTTTCCTTGAAGGCCAAATTGGAAGTGTTCCCAACATAAAGTACAAAAAGCTGACCCAGGTCACACAGATCCTGCTTACTGTTGACTGTGATATATGGAAACGGGTTGCAAGGTCCTGCTCAGGAAATCCCTGCCTCAACCTGCAAAGAAAAAGAAAAAACTGGTCCATAGTGGACAATTTAGAGGCGCTAAAGCCTTGCCGAATTACCTCCACATTTGTATGTTTGAGTCGCTGAGCCTGACTCCATCCCACCATATTTTCTGCAGTAGGTTGCAGGGCCATAAACACAGCTTTAAATGTAGCATAATCTGGGAACCCTGTATAAAATGATACCTGTTTATCATCACCTTGAAAATGTGACACTATAAACTGTTTTTGTTGAAGCTCTGCTATGAACACTTCTTGCTCACAGATGGTCTTGCGAGCTTCCTCAAGTTGATCTTGAAGTGAGGGAGGCAGTGCAGCATATTCATGGTCTGGGTGCGGAGGGGGGGTCTCTTCACTGGAAGTATAAGAGAAACATATTGATGGACACATTAGGTCTTTTAAAAGGATACATGGATTAAACATGTTTATGGATTAAAACATGGATTTTTATGTCACATATACTGTAAAACGTATGAAATAGCATTTGGATGTTTGTAATTAAACTTTACACTGATATAATTCACGTTAGACCACTGTTCATCAACAGCAGCATAATCATTGGCTCAGTGACAGTGTTATAAGCACATACATGTGTTGCTCAATATCATGTAACCAATTACACCTTTACATACCTCAACACATTCACACCATCAACGATGTCCGTGGAAACATTACTGGAAATAATCAGCAGAGAAATAATGTCACTACACAGTTAATAAATGCATTACAAACTGGTAAATTCACTCATCTAAATACTACCTTGCAGTTCTAACAACGATCCTCCTCTCTGGTCTGAACGAACTCCATGCAAACACAGTTGGCACAGCACCTTCTTTCAGCTTGGTGATGCCAGTCTTGGTTTTTACAAGGCAGTCTGGGAGGAAATGCTCAGAGCACACCTTTGTGTGTGTTTTTATCTGCACCAATAAAGAAAATGTAACCGTTTAAATATTTTTACAAGAATAATTTTATTGATCAGACTCGACGTGACTCCTGAGCATCCTCTTCCTAGCTAGGGACACTGATGTGAACACTGATGTTCCCTAGGTTAACTAGCTAGTGACTAGAAGCTAATACAAACAAGCTCACTCAGAATATACTTATATACGAGTAAATCTGTGGTGGTAGATTTAAATAACATACTACTAATTTTGGACTAGGCGGTAAATGTCAACAACCTGGCTCTCTGCCTTAATCTATCTAGTTACTAAAACTTGCTAGTTCTAGCTAGCCTGGTTAGCGATACAAGCTAGTTATGGAGACTGACTCAAAGCACCAGCTATCTGAAAACTTACCTTAAAATTACGACCAGGATCCCTTCTGATATTTTTTATCCACTCTCGACGTAGTCCCTTATCCTCTGGAAAGGTTTGTCCTCTGTTGGATTTTTTCCTGTGTGACGAAGTGCACTGGGGAACATAGCAGTGCGGCGCCATTGCCGCTAAGAGAAATCGCGACGCGAGAATTCCCGGAAGTGGTAGGTGTACCCCTCAAGCTCCTTAGAACGTTCGAGGTGAATAAGGCGAATAATAGTAGTGTGCTTTGCAGGCACACTAATAATAGTTGTGTGCTTTGCAGGTACACTTACTAAAAAATTCCTAAAGAAATTTTGAGTGTGCCTGGCTCTGACTCGTGACTCTGGCCCATATATTATTGACACTGCCGAGTAGTTTACAGTATATGACCTCTACCATTGCTTAGGTATGTGACAG